CTATACAGAAAGCAAATTGTAAACGTTTAAAATGCTAGTGCCCTGGGGACCAGCAGTTGGCGTAATGACTGTTGCTGGGCTCCCATGTAGTCAACCGCGGTTCGAGTCCCAGACCTGGTGGCTTAAATTAACTCCGGCACATGTGCTTGGGTGCCCAAGATCCCCAGAGAAGGGATTGCGGTGTGGCCATCCCCCCTGGGGGGGGGATTTCTCCCTTTGTGTCTCCGTGTCTCTGTCTTCCTGGCGAGTGCATGCGCCCTATAGGAAAAACCTCTCCAAAAAAAAAAATAAAATGGTAGTGCCCTTGTGGCTGCCGTGGATGGCTCCTGGGCATTCCACATTTCCCATTACGCAGGGATGCGGACTTTGAAGGGCGTTGGTGCAGGGGCTAGGTACTTAGGGGTACGTGACTGGCTTGTTCTTTAGCTCGGAAGTTCGGAGTTTCCCCTTAATGTGAAACTGAAGAGTGGCACACACATCAATCAAACTTCTGCAAAGACTAGAATTAAAACCTAATCTATGGGAAGCAGCAGTTAGCATAATGGCTATGTCACTGGACTCCCATGTAGTCGACCACGGTTCGCGTCCCGGACCCGGTGGCTTAAAACTCATGCTGGGCGCGTGTACATGCGTGCCCAAGATCCCGAGAGGAGAATGGAGGAGAAGGGATTGCGGCGTGGCCATCCCCTCTGGGGGGTGATTTCTTGCTTTCTGTCTCTAATGTCTCTCTCTGTCTGGCAAGTGCACGCGCCCTATAGCAAAACAAACAAACAAACAAACAAAAACTAATCTATTATTTTGGTGTAATTGATTTTAATTAAAATGAAATAACTGGGCCACCCAGGGGCATGGTGGTTAAGATGGCTGCATTCCACAGGGCGGACTGCTTTGAATCCTAGACCCAGAGGCTCGAAAAATATGCCTGGTGCATGTTTGTCCAAAATCCCAAGGGAAGAGTGGAGAAGAAGGGATTGCAGCGTGACCATCTCCCATGGGGGTTGCTCGCCGTCTCTTTCTCTCTCTCTGTCTGTCTTCCTCTTTCTCACTGGCGAGTGCACACACCTGCTGGTAAATTAAAAAGAAAATAAAAACAAATACATAAAATTAGGGGCCAGCAGCTGGCATGGCGGGGGTATTGGACCCCTACGTGGCCTAACGCAGTTTGAGTCCTGGATCTGATGGTTTGACACACGCTGGGCAAATGTGTGTGCATACCTAAAATCCCAGGAGGATAATGGAGGGGAAGGGTTACGGGGCGATTTAACTAAAAATTCCTGATTATTTTAATAAGTAAAGTTGACAACTTTCACTATTGTCCGTTATTATAGCTTTTGAAAGGCCAACAAGGCTTTTTGTTGGTCAGCAGTCTCTGTTGGTTCCATACTGATGCTGAGGGACCAGCAGATGGCATAATGGTTGCATTGCTGGACTCAAACATGGCCGAGCACGGTTCTAGTCCCGGACCCGGCAGCTTCAAACTCACAGGGCACCTGTGCAGGTGTACCCAAGATCCTGAGGGGGAAATGGGCGGAAGGGATTGAGGCGTGGCCATCCCCCTGGGGGCATGATTTCTCACCTTCTGTGTCTCTCGCTGTCTCTCCATGCGCCCTATAGCAAAAATCTCTCGAAATGAAAAAGATCCTGAAGCTAAATTCGGTGCATCTGAATGTGAGTCGCCGGGGCAGCACAGTCACAAGCGGTCTTTGTGCCGAGGCAGCTAATGGCACAGTAGCGCGCTGTCCTGTCCCATCTCTCAGCGTCTGTGTGTCTTTCTGCTCCTGTGAAAGTCCCCCTTGTCTGCACGTCTGCAGTGTCGCCAGCCAGTCCTCCCTCACGTTTCCTCACTGAGCCGCTGGCCCTGGCTGGCCCTGGCCTGACCGTTGGGGTGGCAGGTGGGACGTGTACGGTGACCCGCAGCTCCTGGGTATGCGCTCCTCGCTGTGACCCAGTGGTCCGACCCTCCTGGGCTAGCCAGGCCGTGTGCCCAGCTTCCAGAAAGACGTGGGCTCTGTTTGCCGCTAACGCTCGTTTGGTGTAGTGCTCCACACAGCATCATGTCCCCAGAGCCGCTCCATGTTTTCAGGGCTCGGTTGTATGTTATTTCATTTCTCCAGGCCCCTGCACTGCTTCCTGGCCTGGCCCGGTCATCCTTGTCACCATTGGCTTTACCGTCCTAGGGATCGGCTCGCTCTGTTTCTGGAACCACCGAGGGAAACGCCGTGTCTGTGGGTGTACAGTGAGTTCACGCAGGAGTCAGGATCGGGGAGCAGGGCCTCCAGCTCTTTTTAAAAATGTTTGTGTATTTTCGAGTGTGTGAAGGGGTGGTGGCACCCTTGACGGTGTCTTTGTGCCTTGACCCCAAGCCGCAGCCTGCCGGGACCATGGGTGTGTGCCTGGTGTGTTGAGGTGGACCCAGGATGTGAACCCGGACCCTTCCCATGGTCTCCAGCATCGTGCAACAGCACACCACGGCCTGCCTCAGCGCAGATGGCTCTCATTCCACGACGGCCAGTTCTGGCTACTGTGGCTTAGAGTGTGCCGTTGGAGGTCGGCAGCGCCATGTCGGCCGGCTTCCTGGGAGAGCCTTGTCTTCGTCCTGGGCAGTCTTACTGGATAGTTTCCCCTGTTGCTGTCCTCTTGTGGGGTAGAATGGACAGGAAAAGGCCTTTGGTTTTCTGGAGCTTTTCTGCTGCTCTTGGCCCCCCGCCCCCCTTTTTTTGGAGAGGTTTATGCCATAGGGCGCGTGCGCTCACCAGAAAGAGACAGAGACAGAGAGACAGAGAGTGAGAAATCACCCCCCAGGGGGGATGGCCACACCACAATCCCTTCTCCCC